GGAGCAATCGACCACCTTTGAGAATCACCTGAAGGCGAGCTAAACAGAACTTCTATAACTAAGTATATAAAGAAGAAACCACCTTAAGACTGGTAGGAAGGGCAGAAATGCTGAATGGGCTGACCCCACACCCACATGTAGTGGTTTAGAATTGGGAGGGAGATCACAGCTGCGGAGGTCCCTCCTGAGGAATGAGGGGTCCCAGCCCCACACCGGGCTCTCCAGCCTGGAGCGCCAGTGCTGGGAAGAGGAGTCCCCACAATAGCTGGCTGTGAAAATCAGCAGGGACTCTGACCAGGTGAGATGGAGGGCAGGTGTAGACCCAGGCACTCTCTTAAAGAGCCCAAGAACAGACTCGCTCACCAATACTTGCCCTAAGCTCCAGAGAAGGGACAACGGCTCAAAAAGTGCGAGAGACGTACCAAGAAGAACTGAATGGTCTGGCTTCACGGCTAGGGCTGGAGATGCAGCTCTCACTGGGACTAAAATACAGGCAGGTGCCATCGTTCCTTTGTCGAGCCCGCCATTCCACACAACCAGCAGGTGCAGGTGGGTGCACAATTTGAGTCCCTATTAGCGTGGCTAACACAGCTCTTGTGCTACTCTCATGATTCCCTGAGACGGCACTCAAGTCACTCGACCAGCATTAACCTCTTTCGGAGGCAAATTGACACAAGTGGCTGGACTTGGCCCATGCTGCGGATTTTCCTAAAGTCTCTGAAAGGTCCACAAACTCCAAACGAGCAGAGGCTGGCCTCGGCGCACCCTTTGCCTCTTGCTAAGCAGCCCCAAGCCCAGCGCTAGTGGCAAACACCTGCGGATCAATTTGTAACTCCAACCTTGTGGCCCCAGGTGGGGCGCAGGCAGCAGCTGATCTTGGCTTGCACCAGACCCCCTCCCAAAAGGCCCCAGGACCAACATACCTGGTGGCCAGCTTCAGAGCACACCAGAGCACCACCCACCCACCTCCACAAACAATACATCCAGAGGGCGGATGCAGCAGGCACCAGAGCCCCACTAAAGTGAATCCTGCTTTGTAGGGTCAGGCCCTGCACAACGGCTCCTCCACTGTAGTCACGGCCAGTCCTCACAGCCAGTGGCCCAAGGGTCAACCCCTCCCTTTGATGTGCCATCAGCAACCAAGTCTCCACTACAACAGAAAGACACAACAATCCACACAAGGGACATAGCTGGGGCACCTGGCTCAGGTGACCAGAAAGACTGTGCCACTAGGCCCCGTAGGACACCTACTACATAAGGCCACTCTACCAAGACCAAGAAACATAGCGGAAGAAAGAAAAGATAAAAAATATGAATAAAATACGATAACTACGTATCTATCCATCAACAATTACTTTAAAGGTAAATAAATGCTCCAATCAAAAGATAAATGGATAAAGAAGAGGTGGTACATATATAAAATAGAATATTACTCGGCCAAAAGAAGTATGAAATCTCACCATTTGCAACAACATGGATGGACCAAGAGGATATCGTACTGAGTGAAAACAGACTCATAGATACAGAGACCAAAGGGACAGTGACCAGAAGGGAGGAGGTTGGGGGGGTGAGAAATTAAAATGGATCACAGACTTAAATTTAAAATACAAAAGTATGATTCTTCTAGACAATAACAGGAGAAAGCCTAGACGACCTTGAGTACCGAGACGATTTTTTAGACACAACAAAAGCATGATTCATGAAAGAAATAATTGATAAGCTAAACATTAAAAATTAAAAACTTCTCTGCAAAAGACGATGTCAAAAGAATGAGAAGATAAGCCACAGACTGGTGGAAAATATTTGCAAAAGACATATCTGATAAAGGACTATTATCCAAAATATACAAAGAACTCTTAAAAAATCAACAATAAGGAAATGAACCGTAGTTTTAAAATATGGGCCAAAGACCTTAACAGATACCTCATTAATGAAAATATATAGGTGACAAAAAAGCATATGAAAAGATATATAACATCATATGTCATTAGGGGATTGCAAATTAAAAGAATGAGATCCCACGCCATACCTATTAGAACGGACAAAACCCAGAACACAGACAACACAAAATTCTGGCAAGGGTGTGGAGGAAAAAGAATTCTCACTAATTGCTGATGGGAATGAAGGATGGTACAGCCACTTTGGAAGACAGTTTAGCAGTTTCTTGCAAAACTAAACATACAATTTAGCAATCTTGCTACTTGATATTTAACCAAATGAGTTAAAAAACTCATGTCCACACAAAAATTTGTACATGGATGTTTATAGCAGCTATATTGATGTATATAGCAGCTATATTGTCAAAACATGGAAGCATCAAATAATATTCAAACGTCTAAGAAATAAGAGCTATCAAACCATGAAAAGACATAGGGAAAACTTGAATGCATATTCCAAAGTGAAAGAAGCCAGTCTGAGAAGGTCACATACTATATGATTCCAACATATGACATTCTGGAAGGTTTTTTTTAGTTTTTAGTTTTACATTTAAGTCTTTGATCCATTTGCATTAATTTTGTATATGATGTGACTATTGGTATTTACAAAGCTTCCTTGTACATATGTTACGTCTGATTGTTATTTAAAAAATCTTTGAAGAAAGCACATCAGGAATTGTAATCCCCATTTTACAGATGAGAAGACCGAGGATTAGAGACGTGCTTTGTGACTTGCTCACAATCCCACAGCTAACAGGAAAATGGTGATGAGGGTTCAGGTCTAGGGAGACCCAGGCCAGTTCTTTGGGAGCTCAAGATGGTGCCTCGGCAAAGCAAATTTTCCCAGTGGGGATCTAAACAACCTTTTAGGCACTGAGGTAAGAGGCACAGGCAGTGGGATAGCCCTGACCGTACTTGGTCTGCGCTCCTCTGGCCCACTTGAGCCTCCACAATTGAAGAGAGCCAGAAGCTGGCCTGGTGCCTCGCTCAGGCACTCTTCAGTGAATGCTTTTTGATGATGATGAACAAAATGTTTAGAGGAGAGCTCTGAAAGTAATACGAAGTTAGAATTTTATGCTAAGAAAGGAACTAAGTGAAAGGAACTAAGATTATTTGGCTTAGAAAAGAGAGGTACAACATGAAACTTGAGAACGGCCTTCAAACAAACAAACAAACAACTCTTCGGCTATCTTTCTGAGGGCCGAGCAAGGAGAAATGGGCTACAATAATATAAGTAAAAGAACAAATTTTTTTCCTTTCTGGTGAGAGGATTGTTACAGACCCTTAAGAGCTTCTATAAACAAAAGGAACTCTTTTTATTTGAGTTTGGAGCCAGAGATTTGTCCGACATGAGCTGTGATGAAGGATTTCATGACGGTTACATGACCCTCTTGCACAGTATCCTTCAAAATCTTTGGGTGGCTCCTGACCCTGTCCTGTGTCCTCGTAAAATTCCAGGTGGCTTTGTCTGTGGCCTTTCCTGCTCCTTAGTCTCAGCATCTTCGCAGTACCATTTCACTGACCAAGAGAAGCTTACCTTACCTCCTGAAGGCTTAATCAATGCCCATGCTTCCTGCCTTGAAGCCAATTAGCCCAGTGCCTAAGTCTAGATATCTGGCTTGGCATCCCTGGAAGGGCCTGAAATGTTTGGTTTGGCTCATCCAAATGTGACCCCAATGTTTGAATTCCCTGTTTTATGTCTAGCCTCTTCTTGCACAGCTCCAATGATGGGAAACTTCATTCATCTCAATAGAAGATATAATACAATGAACTTTGGACTAGGAATAAGGGAAGTTGGGTTTGAGCTGTAGCTCTGCCACTTACTTGCTGTGTGATCTTTGGTAAGTCTCTTCACATTTCGGGACCTTTTTTTTTTTTTTTTAATCAGTAAAATGTTAGTGGAGGGATGTATTTGTTTTAGTTTCTGTTGGTTTAACTGCTGTAACAAATGGCCCTCAAAAAATCAGTGGCTTTCTTCAGTAAATGGTGCTGAGAAAATTGGAAAGCCAATTTCATTCATGCCAAAGAATGAAACTAGACTGCTATCTATCGCTATACAGCAAAAGTAACTCAAATGGATCAAAGACCTAAATATAAGACCTGAAACAATAAATGGCGTGGAAGAAAACATAGGTACCAAACTCACGGACCTGGGATTTAGAGAGGATTTTATGAATGTGACCTCAAAGGCAAGAGAAGTAAAAGAAAAATAAATGAATGGGGCTACATGAAACTAAGAAGCTTCCGCTCAGCAAAAGAAACCGTCAACAAACTAAATTGCAACCATCTGAATGGGAGAAGATATTTGCAAGCAACGCCTCCGATAAGGACCTAATACGTACAATATACAAAGAACTCGCACGACTCAATAACAACCAAAAACAAACAATCCAATGAAAAAATGGACATAGGACCTGAACAGACACTTCTCCCAAGAAGACATACACATGGCCAACAGACATATGAAGATGCTCAGCTTTACTAGCTATCAGGGAAATGCAAATCAAAACCACAATGAGATACCGCCTCACACCTGTTAGAATAGCTACAATCAACAGGACAAGTAATAACAAATGTTGGAGAGGATGCAGAGAGAAAAGAACCCTCATACACTGCTGGTGGGACTGCAAATTGGTACAGTCACCTTGGGAAACAGCATGGAGGTTCCTCGTCAAACTAAGAATGGATCTACCATCTGATCCAGCAATCCCTCTACTGGGTATTTACCCCAAAGTCTCAAAAACCCATATCTAAAATGATATTTACACACCGATGTTCATAGCAGCATTATTCACAGTGGCCAGGACATGGAAGCAACCGAAGTGTCCTACGCTAGATGATTGGCTAAAGAAGCTGTGGTACATATATACGATGGACTATGACTCAGCCATAAGAAGAGATGAAATCTTGCCATTTGTGACAACCTGGATGGACCTCGAGATAATCACGCTAAGCAAAATAAGCCAGACAGAAAAAATTAAGAACCATATGATTTCACTCGTATGTGGGATATAAAACTGAAAGTTACAGATGAAGATGACAAAGAAACAGAGACTCGTGGACATGGACAGTGGATTAGTGGGTAACAGAGATAGGGGGAGTAGGTAGGGGTAAAATGGGTTAAACATTTCATAATGGAAAGAAATTTAACTTGGGGTGGTTAACATACAATGCGATATACACACGCATATGACATTATTGAATTGTACACTTGGAACCTATTTGATTTTATTAAGCAATGTCACCCCAATAATTTTAATTAAAAATTAAGTGTCTTAAAGAACAAGAAGTCGATTTTTTTTATGTAACATTCAGGGAAAGGGTTCCACATTGGAGAGGCAGGGTAGAACTTCACTCCATGTAGTTATCTGGGGACGTGGACAGAACCGATAGCAGTTCTGCCATTCTCAATATATGGCTTCCAAGTTCACTCTGAAGTTGTAGCCCAGCAGAAAGCAGAAACCTAATGGGAGTAATTTTATGGTTCAGGCCTGAATGTGGTGTGTATCATTTTTACTCCCACTTTATTGGTCAGAATTCAGTCACATGTTCATGCCAAACCGCCAAGGAGGCTGAAGAATGTAGGTCAGTTGAGTGGTGGCTAACCAGGCTTTATCATAGACCTCATCTTCAAAGGACCCCTGTCTCAGCTCTGAAGTTCTGGGTGTATTTATGAGCTGGACTCCTGGTCCTCACATTGCCCTCCTACAGGCGCTCTGAAAATTGCCTCACTTCTCTGACTATTAGGGAGGAGCTGGCTGGCAGCGCAGGCCAATGCAATGCGCACTGTGAAAGGCCAGAGAAAAACACCAGCTACCCCAGCAGACGCCACATTAAGCAAAGGTATCTTTGTGTTTGTTTCCTCTGCAGCGTGGGTCGGAGCTCTCTCAATGGGCATGATCTTCTTCTGTTCTCCCATCGTGAGTATATTCACTGATCGTTTGGGCTGCCGAATCACAGCGACCGCTGGGGCTGCCATTGCTTTCGTCGGCCTCCATACCAGCTCTTTCACCAGGTAAGGCTGGGTGTTCAACTGGGGACACACTTCTCACTCCATGTGGCCCCT